TGCTAATTGCCACCCTATGATACAAGAAATCTATTTAATCTATCGTCTGCTATTGTTAGCTCGCCTACTTCGTACCTTATTTTTAACTACAAAAAATGTACAAGATAATTTTTTTTTCAAATATCACTTAAATTTATTTTTACTGATTTAATTTTTATGACCCCAAAGTATGGTCGTTCGTCTGATGTTAAAAATGCATATGTACAATGTACATGTTTCACGCACTTTGTGGTCAAATTTTGACACCAAGTGCGTCGGATCCCAAAATGCGGTGTTACATAGCTTGCGATGAATATTTTACTGACAAATATTTCCTTCTTGAATGCCATAAACATTCACATGTTCGTGACAGAGTGTATCAAGTCAATTCACTAAGAGAACGTTTTGTCAACCATGATCGATATTTAAAGGAAATTAACTTAACTAGCTAACATGAACCACGCCATTTTAGGCCTACATGTTTTAGTGCTAATTGGTGCTATGTGACCAGTTATGTGTAAGTGTCGCCCGCCGTTAAACCCAAATAAAGAAACATGTTGCATGAATATTTAGATATGTACATAAATATTGGAATTACTTTGTAAAGTTATAACTATTTAATTTTTGTCATCCTGACATCGTCAGTTTACGGTTTTCTTTTAACCTTTTTACCTTTTATAGGTACAAGTGCAAAGCATATGCACTTTTGGTAAAAATTATATGACCCATCTATTAAAATCATATCAAGAAGGAATGTACGTATTATAACGATCAGGCCCATCATTTAACATCCGAAAATAAACCCGTATCTGGAAACTACTCAAGTACCAAAGTAATTAACTCTACTTCATGACATCGACTTTTAATCATCAAAACATACATTGTACATATGCACAGATAACTTCAACCTTTTTATATTTGCGATGGTTATATTACTTAAAGTTACATTTAATAAATATGTAAAAATATTTTGCCGTCGGCCTAAAAATCAAACATTCTACAGTTTCATTAACCTGTTTAAAAGTTTTGTTGTAAATCTCATCAAATATTGTTCATAAATTAAGATTTTAACCGGGAAACCCCACGGTAACACTAAAGTTCGTAGACGAATTTTAACATGCAAATGAAGACTATAGTGAGCTCGTGTATGCGCTACGTCACAGTTTTATAGTTGCTATCCGGAACACAGCAAATGTGATATTTTCTTATGCAAACACACTTTAAACGTTTAAGCTTCACGGTGCACTAAACCTGGGATTCAGTAAAAGTAATCATCTCGTAAAAAGATTAAATTTTTATGAAAACATCCGTTACAATGCGGAAATATACCGTTAAATTAGGACTGCCACTTATAGTCATGTTTGTTGATTTAATATTGATGTACGGATGATCCGAAGGCGGAGTTTCTCATGCAAACAGAAATTGTACTTCCCATTTCGCCACAATGAGGTTACCTATTTTTATGCTAATAAAACTCATTTTGGTTGTCTGGACACCAAAATAAGACCTGGAGTCGATATAAAACCAACTTTATTAATGAAATGTCGCTATTTAGTTTTTATGAAATTTATCAAATGTAACTTTAAAACGATTTATTTTCTACGTTGTAGCCGTTTTAATGATTAATTAGCCACAAATGCCAATTTAAACATGGCAGCTGGCACTGGCTAACATTCTGCCCGCGCGAGCTAGGCAGTGACGTCATCGGAAACGATGACGATACTGCCAAGCTAGGCACCCTAGCCAGGCTAGCCACCCAGCGTCCGAGACTATAAATAGCAGCCCGAATCTGCCAGAATTATCAGTACCTTGGTAGATACCCACCAGACCACACCTATACTATATTGAATATGGATGTATCTCCAGCCACCAGAAAGGTATATAATACTTTGTGCCAGTAATAGTTCATATAAAAGCTTATATTATATAATCTACTAGTAGTTTGGCAGTTTGGCATTATTTTCCATTTATGATAGATCCTGACTGAAGACAAAGTTTCCATAGCCATAATCCCATATTTTATAGTGATACCCATATACCAGGGTAGAACACCACTGTATTTTGTAGTTACCATTTTAGATACCCCATCAACCTTATAGCATTTCATGGTAATTCGTACCAGACCACAGTCAAGACGTGACACCGTATTTGTCAAGCCTTTCATTACGACTTATATTATACATTATTCTAGACGTAAAAGAAGAATATTCCTGACCTAAGACGAGGAGCCCAAGCAAGAGCCATCCACAAAATATACTATATACGATTTTTTTTTTTTGTGAAATGTTATTTAATAAATTGTTGTGTTAATTCAGGTGTCCGTATCTTTTAGTCCTTGTGTCCCTATTTTCCCTTATCCATTTACGTGTGTTTGAGAAGAACCCACGTGTCGATTTTGATGTGTGTCTGGGCTAGCAGACACCGGGTACGTTTCAGTATATAACCCGACTCATTAGGAAATGGTATTAGAATTCAAAATTATGCATATGTTTAAGTTTATTTGTACGTATTTACAACATTAAATTGGTCAGGCGCGACCAATTTAATTTTGTAAATACGTACTAATAATTTTTAACCGGCTTAGTGTTTTAAATCATTTTTGTAAACAGTCGAGTTACTAGACTGATTAACAGTTCGCCGATTAACCGAAGTTAATGTGTTACGATTCATTTGAAATACTGCAATCCTATTGGACAAAAAAACTCAAACACGAAATATAAAAATTATATATAAATGCATTAAATTATATGACGGAATGTAATATATAACCCTATTCATTAGACAAGGGTATTAAAATTCAAAATTATGTCCACTTAAAGCCGAAGAAGCAATCATACAGTATTATAATAACCGGTATGAAAACATTTTTTCAGATAGAAGCAATTTAAGTATTTCATTCACTTTCTTAAGATAGGAAATTAATCTTGGTTAAATATTCATTTCTTCCTTTTAGACATTCATTGTTTACATGAGACTATCTCTCAGACAGTCAGATTGGTAATACACGTTTATATCTTATATATTTTTTTAAATTATCTACGCATAACTTCCTCATTTTTAATTTTATATAATGTATATTACAAACTAATTAAGAAATTCTCTATTAACATTAACAATGGTTTTTGTAAAGAAAGAAGGTTTGATGAATTTCAATTGTACGAAATGATAAATTGGTTAATTATAGGTTATATATTCAATACTTACAAGCAAGATTCATGGCTGTCAACTTTTTTTAATTATTTAACCACAAAAAGTTGAAGGCATAATCGTAAAGAAATTAAAAATCTTATCGGATTGCATGCATGTTATAATGTTCAAGGTTTGATGCGATAATAGAGGGCCTTTGTCATCAGTGTAAATGCAATCTGGGCGTTCATTATCCTTAACGTGATCAGGCTTTAATTAGTATTGTGTACCATAATAATTTTATTCTCTTTATACTGAAATCCCTTACAATACACACATTCCATTTCAATCAAGCTAATTGATTAGACAAATTCATCTAATAGTTACAAAAAATGCCATTCAGAAGTTTTTTTAGCTCTACAGTTAACAACACTTTTCAAACAAATCCATACATGTACAGAATCAAAGTGACACTTTGCATGTTTGATGTGAATTTTTTTTCTGCAGTTTAACTCACAGACCCAATGTTTTTTTTTTGTTTTGCATTTTGTTTGACTAGTAAAAGGTTTTACAATTTATAATTATTTTTATGAAGAAAAGTACGATTGTTTTGTTGTGTTACATTAAGTCCATATTGCGTTGTTTAACACTTATTTTCTCAATACCTTTAAACATTTTAGTTTTAAGCTTTTTCAAGAAAATCAAATCGACTTCTTTCGGACTATTTCAAAAAGAGTTGATCAGAATTCATTTCGATCCTCCAACTCAGATAATATACTCTTAACTTTTGAGTATTTTCAAAAATCCTATTTTTATAGGTAGTTATTGTAGGAAATAACATTTCTAAATGGTGGGGTTGAAATGGTCTTATAGATAATTCATTTCAATATATTTAATGATATACATGTATGTAATAAATACATTTTCGTTACAGATACCGTTATATCTCAGATTTTACATTTCATTTTGCACATAGCATTTTGAAAAATACTGTTTCATCGAATTTAAGCAGCTCGATCTTAATTTATTTCTCTTGTTAATAATCAATGAAGAATGTAATATTTTATTTGATATTGCAGCATATTTCTACATTTATAGGAACAAAAGAATGGACTTCAAGATATTAGTACTGCTTGTAGCGTCTACCACAAGATGTGTCTGTGTGTTCATATCCAATCCTACCAGCAACGCTACAGAAAGACATCGCCTTTACACAGAACTTTTCGTTAATCAGGGCTACAACTCAAAGATTCCACCATTCCAATATGTATATCGCCCTTTTGGTATGTTTTTTATTATAATTATCATTTTTTATTTATTTTATTTTTCTTTAAAATAATTATGTAGTCTGTATATCCCATTCAAAACTTGAATTGTATGGCAAACCGTGCAGCATAATGCATGTGTACAATGTATTCAAGTATTAGCATATCCAAAGTTAAAAGTGTAAGTTATTATGGAATAGTTTTTTGGTAAAAATTAATACGTATTTCACATTAATTAATACTTATTTAAACAAAATGATATTCACATTCAACAACATGCATTGTACAGTGTTCACACAATTTATCATATAAATTTATCCCTCTAAAGGCCAGATTCTGTAGATAAACAAAGACGCAAAATGGTTTACTAATTTGTCAATTTTAATTTCATTAAAATGTCCTTCTGGTTCCTTTCCAGTTTTAAATTGAACTCAATTAGATAATTTTGGCATATTATACATATAAATATGCTCGCATTGTTATAGCAACAGCTTAAGACCAAAGGCGACGTTTTCATTTACCATCTGCGTGATCGATATTTGGTTGTTTATATTTATCTTTGAAACCCAATGATTTAAGAATCGGTTTTCGATCTTTGTAAATAGAATTGAATTAATTTATGGCGTACAAATGATAAAAACAAATTACTGTTTCTAACAAAGTCATCACCGACATGTGATGTAGAATTATTATACATTTCTTTAATGCATATTGGATTATTTCAGAGCAATTACAATAGTGTGTTTAGAATATATAAAAGTGTTAATTGCATTACTTTGATAATAAACAATCAGTTATTTATAGAAAATATAAACATAAATTCAAACATTATTTGAGGTTGTGCATATATTTCTTATCTAAACTTTGCATAATTATATGATTTCAGGTTACATTTAAAAAAAACAACTGTTTTTTAATGTTTTAATTACACCCGTGATAGAAATAATAAAATGTATTAGAAGTCAATTGGTAAGTGATCATCTGACATAAAAATTCTTAGCATTGGTTTCTGGTGAGCAGGTTTTACCCGTGAAGGTGTGAAAAAGATTCATTTTTATCGCTTTTTAGCCAGAGAATTTAGTTTAAACATATTTAATTATTGTGAAGAAATAAAAATGGAAATACAGTGCTTCCTAGTACTTTTGTAATGGTTGACCTCTCAAGAAACTTCACTCGCGGTCATGTCGACAAAACTTTTCAAAATCTCACAAATACACACCAGACGAACGATATGAACAAAAACTGAAACATGCAATTCGTATCTACATTGAAAAAAAGAAATCAAAATGAATTTTTATATCACGTTTTTATAAACCTTTAAAACACACCATGAAGAGTTCGTAAACGTGTAAATTAAAGTATTATTAAACATGAAAATCTTAACAAAATGAACATTTTAAATATGTATTGTATTTCTAACAATTTTCCCTTATACAGAAGAAACTCAAAACCTAGGCTGCAGGGTACGATGTATGTTCTTGTAAGTATGGTTCAGATGAAATAAAACATCGAAAATAAAGAGTGAACATAATATTTATTTTTTAAACGTTTAGTTAAAATTTTAAGAAATTATCATAACGTTTTTTTAACTAAGGAGAACTTTTAGTGCTTGGTAAGCAGGTGTGCCAGGCTGTAAACTTATCAAGCCAAAGTTGTCATAACAGTGTTCATGGTCTTCAATTTGCTAAGGCCTATATATTATAACTTAACAACATTGAAATCATTTGTTATTAGAATGTTTTCTGGTTTTATGTCCCTATGAATGATAACCGGTACTTCTGCATGCAAGTGAAATCTGCAACATCACTGACATTTGTGATACTAGTTTCATCAATACCGAAGAGGCACTTGTTCAAAGTCATACCATCAACTAATTCTGACAACAAGTCTATGGCAAAGGCCATCAGCAGAACAATATTTAGATGTCGCAGCTGACTATGAACCTGCAGTTCTCTTTCAAATATTGGTTTAGCAATCTTATTGATATTTAAAACTATTACTTTCACTACAACTTTCTGCCAATCCTATTTCCTTCGCACACAGTGCCAAAGCTTCTTTTCCAATTTCCTTTTCCAAATCAGATCACCCAGTTTTACTTTCGGAACTGTATGTGTAAAGCTAAACCTGAGATTTGCAAAGTACCCCCCCCCCCCTGTCTGTGTGGGCGCTAGATCTGTGTGCTGAACTATTAAAATAAAAAAGTAAAGTGTTTTTTTTTTTAATTTATTACGTATTTACGAACAGATATATATTGTAGTGCTATGTTTGATAACTTAAAATGAATTCTAACACGACCCGCATTTTTCCCTATTGAACATATAAGAACAAAAAGTGTAAGTTATTATGGAACAGATGCACAGTTTGACGTTCTATATTTAGACATGTGACGTAATCATTATACACGTGACGTAACCACTAAAAATCCGACGCGCTGAAAATAAATTCGGAAACCAATCAGGCGCAATTTTGCTTAACTATCAAGTACCTCAACATTTATTTGTTAATGTCGTGTTAGAATCGAAATAATATATCCAAATCAGTGATTTTATCGCTTGATAACATCACTGTTTGTCGTTCGGATGCGCATCATTATGTCACTCGGGCTACGCCCTCGTGATATAATTCCTCGCATCCGAACTCCAAACAGTGATGTTATTGAGCGATAAAATCACTGTTTGGGATATATCATTTCTTAATTAAACATTTTTATTTTAAGCTTTTCAGTGGATTACTGATTTTTCTGTGAAAATTATATTTGATTTTTTCACAGTGAAAATTATCAAAATATAATTTCACACTTTTCAATGACGAAACTACTTTTTTAAGATTTTCCCCATGTTGTACCTCAATTTTATTTTTTGTTGACAATTCTGACAATGTCAGGTTGTTTAAAGAAAAGCAAAGCTGAAATTGATAAATAACTTAAATGTCAAAAGTGATAATAAGAAGAAAACTTACTTCTATTCATTCAAATTCCAAACACCAAATTTCGTCTCTAATTTTTTTGTTTCATTTTTACAGTCTGAAAAATACATTCCTTCCACATGCACATCCTTCCATAAGTTTTCTTTCTTTAAAAAAAGGTGTATGACTAACAAATCCAAATGATATCCTCTGAATCAAACACAATTTTCCTCCCGTGAAATGCACAACTTTAAAAAATGGCTGCCGCTTAGATTCAACAAAGCCAGGTCTAATATAAATTCGCAGTAAGTACGGAAATACGGATGGATGGTTGGACTTTTTCTCCTACAAGAATTGTTTGTTTTTATTATTAAAACTAGCTATCATTCATATTTTTTTTAATAAAATGAATAATATCATCGTCATTTAACGTTGATTGTCGAACTTATTTTTCAGCTCAAGACTTCTTGTATTTAATGAGACATTCCGAGTTAATCGGGCTCTCAATGGGGAAAACAGATTTTAATATTGACGTTGATATTATAAAAATTTCGTTTTAACTTGAATTTAAGCATAAAATATTAAGAAAATTTGTTTGTTTGTTGTGTATGATGTTATTGGCTACGCCACTCGTGAGAATACTGTTTATAAAGCCCACTCGATGAAATAGAATTTCATCTTACACACAAACAAACAAATATCCTCTATATATTTGTCTTATAAATAAAATGTCATCAGGCGTAATGAAGATCAACATTAACTTACGTTTTATAAGTTAAATTCATTCATTTTAATAGGATAATTTGGTTAAATAAATTATACAAAACAAGCTTTGTATGAATGCCTCTTAGACGGAGTAAATCGTTACAGATTTACGAAAAAACATGAATTGTCATTAAAAATACTGAAGTAATATATAAATTTCATAGTAACAATGATTTGAACAAAGTAAGTCTACAAAAAGGCGAGAAACACCTCTAAATAATTGCTTATAAAAGATAATGAATCTATCATTTGCCATATATTGGTCAATAATAGGAGGTACGTTTTGATTTTGGGGCATTAGAGTGTAAGGTATTTGTTTCAATAAATCATCTTTTGTATGTTTCAGATGTAAACATCTCTTTCTATCTTGAAACGATTATTGACTTAGATGAGATAACAGAAACATTGAAGACAACATCCTATATGGCCATACAATGGAACGATACACACTTGCAATGGAATGCTTCTGAATACAACAACCTAGAGTTTACATATTGGCCACAGGTAGCATTCCAATCCGGGTAACGTATTGCCTTTCTCTACTTGTGTGGTGTATACGAGTATTGTTCATACATAGATACAACTACACGCATAATAATGTATCCTTTATAGAATTTACTGAACAATATTTTGTATTCACCAACAACAAATTTTCATAGTGCTTTAGATAAAGTATGAATCACAGGGATATGCAGAAGCGATGTGTCTGAGCTTGGCAAATGTTTGTTCTGGAAGGTCTTATTCGAGCCTTGAGAACATAACGAACACACAAGGTACAAGATCAGGGGACAATAAGTAATAAGGGAGCATAACGACCGTTTTTTGCTTATGAAAACATCACACATTTTTTATATAACAATCTGACAAAGACAAAATATATTGCGGTTCTTTACTACTATTTTTATTTAAATCTCCAGTGTTTACAAAATATTTAGTCTAGAATTTTGGAGTGACTTATTTACATTAAGCTATTTCAACTAGAATGGTAGGCTCAGAGTTGTACAGAATATGGCATACACATAACCTGCCTGACACATACGGTCTCAATTAAAAAGACATGGTATTTTACCAGAATTGTTTACAGATTTTTTTTTCACAATGCATAACATTTATTCATTTACATTCAATATATTGAGATATACATTTAAGGAGGAACAAGAGGTTTCTTTTAAGACTCTACAAAGTTTATACAGATAATAATTCAAAAGTATCTTACCAAAGTTGTCAAAATAATAAATGCCAGACCTATTTTTAATGTAACATTAGAAAAAGATTCTAGCCTATTTGAATACTCTTCAAAGTGGAAGTAATGTATTTGGGGTATACTACCTTAAAACATTAGTTTCAATTACGCAGAAAAGAAAAAATATTTGCCCCATAATTGTCAAACTTTAAAACCTTTTTTTTGCACTATATAATAATGCTCTCAAAGAATAGCGGCACAATTTTTGAAAAGTTAACGATTGGAACTGAGCTCTTCAATTTTTAAACATAGAGTTATGCCAAAACAGGACATGAGCAAAGTTCACTTCAATTTCTAGGGAACTGCTTAAGTAACTGTATGAGGCCAGTAAAAACACCATTCCAAAATTTATTTTGCACTGTCTGAAGTTTATTCACCAAAAATTGGTCAGCATATTTACTTATATTTGATCTAAAATGGTTCATCTAAATTACAAAATTAAAGTATTTAGTATTATACATTAAAATTCTTCTTATCCATATCAATTTAAGAGACATTATGAAAGTCTCTCAGTGTATCACTCTGAAACCCCCATTTTCATAACTCTGAATAACAACATTTCTTTTAATTTTATCTGGGCCTGACTTCCATAAGAATTTAAAGAAGGAGTTTTGTATAGTTTCAGTACTAGAATTTAGCTCGGTACTGCAGTACCAGAACAAGACTGTCTTTCTAAATTGCTAATTTGTATCAATAATTTTTACTGAGTTTAAACGTGACGTAACCACTAAAATGTGACGCGCTGACAATAAGTACGGAAGCAAATCATGCAAAATTTAGCTTAATATTAGGTATGGCAGCATTTATTTGTTGATGTTGTGTTAGAATCGAAATAATATATCCAAATCGGTGATTTTATTGCTTGATAAAATCACTGTTTGTCGTTCGGATGCGCATCATTATATTCCGCATCCGAACTCCAAACAGTGAATTTATTGAGCAATAAAATCACAGTTTGGGATATATTATTTCTTAAATAGTCTTGTTACACTGATTAGATTATCAGCAATGTCATTAACATAAATTAGAAATAATAAGGGGCCAAGGACAGAGCCTTGGGGGACCCCAGCAGTGATATATTTACTTTCAGAATAGAAGGAACCAACAAAGACCTTTTGATTTCGATTGCTTAGATAATTTTTAATCCATTCCAGAATCTGGCCATTAATTCCGTATTTTTTTTGTTTTAATTTGAATATAAGTCCTTCGTGCCATACTCTATCGAACGCTCTTGAATATCACAAAAAACATTCATGTTGGGATTTTATTATCAAAAGAATAACCAATTTGATGGTAGATGTCCAGTAATTGATAAACAGTCGAATGCCCTGGCAAAAATCCAGACTGATTTTCGTAAATTAATTTATTTGCGTGTAAATGGTTAAAAATGTGTTTGAACATAACTCTTTCCGAAAAAGACTTCAGATAGTGAACGGTTAAATAGAATACAAAGAGGCTTACAAATAGAGATTTTACATTCTTTTAGCATTAAATGACTTACTTCATCTGGGCTTGATGACTTATTTATTACAAGGGATGATGATATATCAATAATTTCCGTTGTAAAACTTATTTATTTTAGTACCAAAATTTGGAAGACTTGCATTAGCGGCGTCAATTGTTGATATAGAAACAAAATAATCATTCAAACAATTAGCTTTTTCAGTATCGGAAGAATGGATAACATCAATTCCATAAATTTCAATATTAAAGGGGGTATAATTTCACAATTTTTATTTTCTTTCACAAATTCTTTGACTGTTTTCCAATATTAACGGGGGTTGTTTTCACTATTGTCACATAATGAGTATTCTTAGTCATTATAGTATTTTTGTTTTGCGTGTGTTTTGCGGGCTTCATAACCTCTGATCCCCTTTCAAAATTCCATTTTTTTAGTTCCGCCCATTGTTTTCACGTTTAGGGCACACGCTTTATATTACTTGGGGACCATACGCCGCTTTTCATGGAATGGCACGGAAGTGTCACATTGAAGGTTCCATGATAACCGCCGTATGACACATCTGCGGATGTTTCTAAATTCATAATTTTACTACTTCATGTTTAAATGTTGAATTCTGCTTAAGCCGGTGCTAGGGGGCGTGGACGGTAACTTGCACTTTCCAGTACCGTCCATAAACAGGCTCAATCAAACCGAGCCTGCAACATTTTCAATTTTGCGTGTTGGGCTTTCTTTAGGGATTCTGTATTCATCTATTTTAAGATTATTTACTTTATTTCGAAGTTGTTTATATTTAATCCAATCTGTAATTTCTCCTGATTGGACAGCTTTCTTATGTAGACAAAGTCTCAAATTTGCCGTATATCATATATACTTAAAGCTAATTTTAATTTCCCGTAGCTTTCAGCCTTACGGCCTTCCTAAGTGACATATATAATAAATGTGGCTGACGAAGGCCAAAAGCAACGGAGAATTCAAATTAGCCTTTTTAAGTATATACAAATATATATTTATACAGAATAAGTAAATACTATTGAAACAATTTATTTTTCAGAACGATATTTGGAAGCCAGATATAGTTCTAGCCAATTCTGTTAAATCATATGAAAGTCTTGGAGATGAAACTATTCTGGTGGAAAGTTTTGATGACGGTTTGATTGCGTGGTACCCTCATGAGGTATGTACAATTTATCACTCCCAAGAATATTTTTTGTTCAAATCACCAGATACGTATAAACAACTTTGTAAAATATAGTATGTATTAACAAACATTGTACTTAATCATGTATTAATGTGACATGACTCCAAATAAGGTTAAAAAATCAAACTAAAGAAGTCTATGTCTAATGTTTAAGAAATATATAAATACCTATATTATCACAATCCAGAAGAAAACTATGACAGGATGTATTAATTTTTACCACCAAGTTTTGTAAATATACAAACGTAATATATTTATGCATTGTAAGTGCCATCAGCACGTAGAGTAATCAACTGACAACATGTATATCTATATTCCAGGTGTTTGAAACGTCGTGTGACATAGACATGACTTATTACCCATATGATGTACAAACTTGTGAAATACAGTTTATGTCCTGGAGCTATGCTAAAGTAAGCAACTTTTTAATGATGAAACAATCGCTCGCAAATAAACGTTACCTAAAATGACCACATACATCCTTCACTATTTTTATCCCAATATATCTAATAACCGCAAACATTCAGCTGGTGCATAAATAATTTCATCTTCTCGGCATTTTCCGTCAAAAGCTCGAGCCCAATAGTAAGAATACACAGGACGAATACAATATTTCGGTCTAACCTGCGCTAAGAAATTAAACATGTAAAAAATAGTTATTAAATGCTGGCTGTTGATAACTAAATTTATACCAATATATCGTGTAGAGAAAATTTCCCCTGAAATCAAGTATATTGATAGATATACTCGTAAAATTAAACGTCATTGTTTATATGCTCATGATTATGGTGGTACAAACCGAAAGTACATAATGTCTGCCTTTTGACATTAATTCGAATTTGGTTAAAATTGTATATCAGTGGGCATTTTTAAACCACACAGTTTTACCGAAATAAACTTTAATTTCCTTTGGATGACAAATATGTGCAATAATACACTATCAATGATTACACCCTACATTTTTGTTTACATATAACACCACGTGGTATCCTATTAATCCAAAAAAATTTTATAAAATAATAGCCGAAAATTGTTCGTTTTGGATATAAACGCGTTGACTCACAGCAAATTTTATGCTCGACGGGTGCAATGTCCCCGGGGGGGCTTTTGGGAACAAATTTTTTAAAATTTGATGGCTCTCAAGTTTACCTGCATAAAAAATCTTTGTTGTCTTTTTTGTTTTATTTTACCCCCAAACCAGTAAAGGGTCATATTTAAATTTTCCATTTTATTTTCAGTACTTAATTAAAACCCACCTACGAGGGAAAAAGCTAGCTGGATAGATTCCTCCAAAGTCCCTCTCGAGATTTGAGAACATATGTTTTTTTTTCAAACTTTAGATAATAAAACCTTTGAGTATCGGAAGGAACTTTATAGAAAACACAATAAGTACATGTAAATATTTTTACTAATTTCGGATAAAAGAAACATTTTGACAATAAATCAATCAATTCGTTTCATGTTTTTCAATAACGAAATAATGATAAAAATATAAAAGAACAGTGTCATGGTGTTGACATATAAATCATTTTCATTGATCAGTTCTGTTGTGTTTTCAACGACAAGATTTCAAACGCCACATTTTATTTTTAAAAAAATGAATACAAATTAAAACATTATGTCATTATTTACGAAACCATTAAATATTTAACATGAATTCTATCAAAAGCTGTTCAAAATTTGAAGTGATGGATTCTAGTTGTCCACCCCTTTGACATAATATGGTGAGTATCGGATCTGTAATCAAGAACTTGCCGATTTGATAACCTATGTAGAATTTGTGGTCGGTCACGTGCAAAGAAATAAATAATTCCTAGTAGGTTTTCCCAGGAAGGCTGGTAAGGAGGACCGACCGTCGAGATATGTGCAAAATGTGTTAAACTCAGCGTAAAAACAAAATTGAAGCTAATGTGTTGCTCAAATTACCTTGAATAATATATGTACTATACTACTATTGTGATATGGATTTTTTGTTTTATTGCAGATTAAACTGACCGCATACCCAGAGTTAGTACTGGAAAGCGATTACGAACCCAACCCTAAATGGGATATCCTAGAAACAAGTGCATACCATTCAACAAAATTGAACGTGGATGTCCTAATTTATAAATTAAAGTTGAAACGGAAACCCCAGCACGCCCTTTTGACATTATTTCTTCCAGTTCTGTTGGTAAACATGTTAGGACTTTTCGTGTTTGCAATACCAAACGGTGGTAACAGATCAGGGTACGCGGTTACAGTATTCCTGGCTTTCTCCTTCTACTTGACAATTGTAGATTCTGTCATGCCTTCGCATTCCGAGAAGATACCACTGTTTTCGATATATTTGGTTGTTCAAACTGTCCAGTCAACAATCATCACAATTTTATCTGTCCTTTTAACGAAAGCAGAATTAATGGACAAGGACACGGCAGTTCCACGTCTTCTTGTGTTTCTCGTTCAAATTAGCAAAGTATTCTGTAAGAAAAATACCAAATCTAACAAGGTCTATACAGCTGAAAGCATTGAGACAGAAGCAACTTCAACTTCGGATAACAAGACCGATAACAATATGGAAGCCAAAAATGTCACGGAAACAAAACAAATTACTTGGGACATGGTTGTCGACGCCGTTGATAAAATAGCAGCAATATTCTTCACTTTAACTTTTGTTTCTACTTCCGTATGTTTCTTTTCTGCAATCATTCTTTCAAACAAATGACTGCTTCGTTTAATGAAACCTACAAAATGTACATTTCGTACAATGATATAAACATTTGAATATGAAGTAAGTTTTATCTTAAACTAGATTATTCATTGTTCAATCAATCACTTGTTAATCTATATGTTTTAACGAGAGAGAACTAAAAATGGGTTCTTAATAATGAAATGAAATAGGGACAACATCTGATTTTCTATACAAATTGACGAATACATAAAAACATAGTGTGTTTCACCGTTGAAATTTGCGAAATTAGAATGCTTTAATGGGTTTTGATACCACGAGGATAAGCCTTCATGAATACAAGTTTACGTCACCGTTGAACACATACTTTTTTCAATTTTAAGTACTTTTTTTCAATTCCATTATACACGGACATTTGGAATATATATATATTATATATATATATATATATATATATATATATATATAGACAAATCGCACGAAAATCTCACGCCGCAGCCGGGACTCGAAACCACGGGGTCTCTGGATTGCAGGTCCAGTATGCTAACCACTACACCACAGCGGCCGTTGTTTTTTCTTCGTGCTAATTGGCCTTATATATTTAAGTTATTTTTAACTTATTCCCGCCCAAGAATGAATATAATGTTTATATGAAAGAAAGAAAGTCATATAGTCATTCTTGGGCGGGAATGGTCTTATAAAATAATATATGTGTTTGCCATAAGATATTTGTAATAAGGAAATTAATAGTGACTGAGTCAGCCAACTGCGGTAAAAGAAGCTATAAATAGCTCGCCGCTATGGTAATAAAAGTGATGACGTCACAATAAAGTTAAAAATAACTTAAATATATAAGGCCAATTAGCACGAAGAAAAGCAACGGCCGCTGTGGTGTAGTTGTTAGCAAACTGGACCGGCAATCCAGAGACCCGTGTTCGAGTCCCGGCTGCGGCGTGCCGATTTTCGTGCTATTTTTCTATGTATAATTTCCTGCTCATGACTTTCTTATATATATATATATATATATATATTATATAATATATATATATATAATATATATAATATGTCTTTATAAGTGTAAAAATGTTTTCTAGATTAAACACGATAACTTTACTGTTTACACTGTCACTGATAAGACAGGACGAAGGGCTTATTTTCTCTAAAATTATTTTCTGCCACTTATTTTTACAAAAATGGCTGCCATAAAGTTCACAAGTAACGAAAACTTCAACAACCTTAATAATGACGCATAAAAAAACAACATCAAATTGATATTTTTTTCTTTAAACACAATACATGTATATCAATTACTGCTGATTATAAATATCGTTTACAACACATGTATATGTATAATATATGTATAATCACTTTATAAAAGCTAATGTGAACATAGTACAATGTATGATAAAACTTCTTGACAAGGGTGAGTCTGCAATTCTCTTGTAATTTTGTTGTAATTAATGCTTCCGAGGGATCATATCGTTTCAAGATTTTTATACTTCACAACAGCAGGTGTCAAGTGCTGTGTGGCAGCTGTAAAAAGTTGCCCCGTACTTCACTTCAGTGTTGTTATATTTTTCTGGTCCATCGGGATCAGTGATGCTAGCACTATTAAGTATTGAGAATTGCATACCGCTCAAGCCGGTCCTAGGGGGTTGGAGGGATTTTGCACGCATTCATTATCCCTCATGTACAGAGTCAATCAAACCGAGTCTGCAATTCTCTTGTTATTTTGTTGTGATTAATGCTTCCGAGGGAACACTTCGTTTCCAGATTTTTTTACTTTCATTCTTTAGAATTTTCTCATTTTATTATGTTTCATTTAACTTATCTTGGTATTTCAGAAATTTATTGAAATCTATGAATTTTTTGCTGCATTTATTGAATTTAAATAAAAGAATGCACAAACTATGTTTGGAAAGTTGCATCCCCAACTACAGGTCAAGAGACTTTTGTCTTTTCTGCCAGACATTTTTATGACACTATATATTGATATTGTATATACCAGTAAATAGTTTATAGTTTAAAAGTAACATATCTTATCTGTGTGTACTCAAAAATGTTCATTTGTTTTAAAAATATCAAATTGGAGCAAAAAATTTTTTTGTTAAACCAGGGCAATATAAAGTAGACTGAAATTTGATGCATAAATTTGTATAAGTAGTAGCATACATATTTTACCAATTTTACTACAAGAACAAACCATACACATGTCATTTCATGCCGGGCAAAAAATCGGCTGCAGTTTTCAAATGTGATTTATTTCACTCCAAAAAAAATGTCTTTATAAGTGTAAGAATGTTTTCTACATTTTTGTCTTTTCTGTCAGTCATTTTAATGACACTATATATTCATACTGTATATACCTGTAAATAGAGAAACATTCAAATCTGTGTTTACACAAAAATGTTTATTCTTTTACAAATATCAAATCTGAGCAAAATATATCTTTGTAAAACCAGAGCAATATAAAGTAGACTGAAATTTGATACATAAATTTGTACAAGAAAAAGAACATATGTTTTAACAATTTTACTACAAGAACAAACCATACACATGTCATTTTATGCCGGGCAATTAAATCGGTTGCAATTTTCAAATGTGATTTATTTTTCACAAAAAAAAAAAGTCTTTATAATTAAGAAAAGTTTTTTACATTTAGCACGATACCTTCCGTTAAACTTTACTGTTATAATCAAAAGTTTTCCCCTCGATTTTTTTACTAAACCCTGTATGTGCACTGTTAAAATGTTTATTTATGCATTTTGATAAAACAGACAAACGGCTTACTATCTCTAATGTTATTTTCTGCCACTTATTTTTACAAAAACGGCAGTTTACAAGTCACGAAAACTTTAACAACTCTAAAAGTGACGCATAAAATCATTAAATAGAAATTTTTCTTTGAACAAAATACAGCGATATAAATTACTGCTGATTATAAATATTGTTATAAATATTGTTTAAAACACATGTATATGTACACGTATATTCACTTTATAAAACGTAATGTGAACAAAGTACACTGTATGATAAACCTTCTTGACAGTAATTACTTTCATTCTTTAGAATGTTTTCATTTTATAAGGTTTTATCCAGGAACACTTTATTTATCTTTTGGTAAAATACTTTGATTGCAGAAATTTATTGAAATCTCGTAAATTCTTGCTGAATTTATTGAATTTGAATAAAATTATGCACAAACTATGTTTGGGAAGCTGCATTCCATTTTACTGGTCAAGAGCCTGTCTTTTCTGATAGTCATTTTAAAAAGATACTCAAATTAATGATAAAAATATTAAAATGATCTTATGTACTCAAATCACTCTAAAATGAAATTTTGTTAAGTCCTAGCCTACATTTCCTTATAAATTCTATGTATTTTTTTGGCTTTGAAGCCTTAGCATATATATTTAGATGCCGATAGCTTTATTACAAGACAGTCATGTGACTTGAACAAACCCTTTAACATTTACAGAGTTCACTGTATCAACTATTGTGAAATCTTAACATTTTAACCTGAACAACGTGGGTCAAGTTAGGAAATCATCATTTAATTCTTTATAAGGAGAAATATTTGTTCCTGTGACTGCCGAGTGTATTCATTTTGAGGACATTTACAGAATAATGGATGGAAAATTCAAAATGAAGATATGAAAATTTTGCCTGTGTCTCCCTTTAATGATACTATATATATCTTTAAATAGTTTATAGTTTAAAAAGAAAAATCTCTTACCTATGTGTACTCAAATATGTTTATTTTTTACATACAAATTTGAGCAAAATATATCTTTGTTAAATCAGGCCAATATAAAGTAGTCTGAAATTTGATACATAAATTTGTACAATTAAATAGTAATAGCATACATGTTTTTAGCAATTTTACTACAAGAACAAACCATACACATGTCATTTAAGATCGGCTGCAATTTTCAAATGTGATTTATTTCACTAAAAAAACAAAAAAGAAAAAGAAACATTTTGTTATTTCATAAACGTCAATTTTTCTGAAGAAGACTAAACATCGAAGGCTAAAGAAAAGCGTTTGTTTTTATTGAATTGATTATATATCTATTTCAATCCTGATATATGTATGTTTAAAATTGGAGAACAATTTGTTTTTGTTTGTTTCCTTCTTTTTTGTTTAGTTTTTAATGTATTTTTATGGTTTTTTGTTTGTTTTTATGCTGCACTTTAATATGTAAATACATTACACGTTATTGTCGACATTTGATTTTGTTCATATTATAACTATTTCCATTGTAACCTATCCTTTCCGATATTACAATATGTTAATATTAACAGACGCAGTTTGTTTCTCTAAAGTTCAGAATAGTCTCAAGAGCAAAGAACATCAATTTAATAATTGTAAATTGCCGAATGTCGAATGAAAAATGCACTATAATATTCTTAATTAACCAGTGACTGTATTAAATATTCAGGACTTATTTTTAACACAAAATCAGTTCGAAAGTTTTCTAGATTAAAAAATATTGAGATGAAGTGCGGGACACAACTTTAATATATTTGTAAATAACTAAAAAAAATAGTTAATTCAATGTTCGAAACGTAGATTAAGTCAAATGTCGCAGAGCTGGGACGACATAAACACGTTGAAATATTAAACATAAAATGACAAAGAATTAATAAAATTTAAGAAAAAAAAGACAATGACTACAGCAATCAGTTTTGTTGATGTTGAGACATTATATGAAGATGGTCGCCACTCGGAAAAAGAAACCCTCCCAGCCATTTTCATCTTAGATACGTACTTGTCATAGCAACAACAATTTTGTAGGAGTTATATATCGGTCTGTATAAGTTTACATACTCCCCTTTATAAAATACGATACCATTTTCCAGGGTTACTATACTATTTTCACAAGTGTTTTGCCGGAACTATTACCAAAATCACAGAACTGTAGAGTAGTCATGGCGATTGGATATGGACATGCAGGCGTCTTGTCGTCAATTAACAGTAGAAGTTCCGATTATTTTTCCCAATGTCATTGTATATTTAACGTTCTCATTAACTTCTACTCTGATCGGAAATCTCCTTTCTTCTCTATGCTGTTGTAAAATGATATTTTACTGGTTAAAATTTCGTTAATCT